TCATATTAACAGTTGGGTGCATTGCTGTTGCTATTTATTGTAAAGGTGACATGGGATTTAAAATACTTGATCCTCATGCAAGAGATTTATATGGTAGAGGACATACCCAAGGCACTTGTGTGCTTCTAGAAGTATCACCATTGAATAGCTTGGCACAATACTTGAGTATACATAACAATGACATTGTGAAAACACAATGTGTGAAATTAAGGAGTTCAATCGAAGTTGTTCTGTAGCCATTTGCTCTTTCTGTTATTCTCAAATGAAATCATCCAGCTATTGGAATTCCAATACTTTATCTATTATTGTAAACTATGACAAAAGGCTGTGTGACCTTCTATCTGTAAAAGAAAAGTTTTCAACTAATGACTTGCCAAAAACAATAGATGTTTGTGGAAATGAAAAATTTGTGGATGTGGATGATGTTCCAACTCAGCTTGAATCATAAAAAATTAGAACAAATAATAATAGCACAGCAAATAGTATTTGAAAAATAATTGTTATGCCTGTAAAGGACAACAGAGGAAAATTAAAGGTGCCATGTGCAAAGTTCCAATTGAATGTGACCAAACATGTAACATATTTCCTCCTCCTCCTGTAAGATCTGGTATTATCCTAGCTTCTAAAATTAAAAAGAAAACTTCAATTCAGGGGACCAGAATTCATAATCACAGCATTAAATTGGTTAAAAGTCAATAACCCTTTATATAACGATATCTACAGATTGATTGTACAAATATAGGTACAGCTCTAACAAGTACGACACAGAATCAGCTTACTGAAATCACTACACCACCTAACTCTCATAACAAATAAATTAGAAAATGCATCTGAAAATGCAGATGATTGTATTAGTCCAAATTCTGAGATATCCCAGCCAAATTCAGAAGAAATTAATTCTGACACACCAGCAAATAGTAATACAGAAACACTGGGTCCTTTAAATGAGCACAGGTCACCTGTCAGTGAGACAATTTTATTTACAGTCTGTTATTCCAGATTATCCTGTTATTATGGAAGAAGATAATGCAAATAATTCTAGTACAGGAAGAGAAGTTTATAATATTGCACCTGGTGAAAGTAAACTCCCAGTGTCTAATGACTGATAAGCAAAGTAAAGAACTTGTATTCCCAGTATTTTTTCTAAAGGGTAGATTTGGTTATACTGGTGACAGAGACAATAAATTGTCACTTAAGTAAAGTACTTTAATACAGGATTGTTACTCTACAGTGGATCAGGTTTGCTCCTAATCCAGAATATTTCTTTTCTGCACAGTTCATAATAAAAAAAAAAGTATCTGACAGTATTAATATTGCTCTAAAGAAAGTACATGGTCAGAGTATAACAGCATCTCAAGTAATGTCAAACACACAAATGCAACAAAATCCTAAATCTCTCAATACTTGTTTCTGAGACAAATTCCAGGTTCCCCTCCTTACTGGCAAAAATTCATGTATGAATTAATAGCTATGGTATAGCAGCTTGGTATACCTGAACATGGTTCATGACATTATCATGTGCTGACCTGAGGTGGCCTGAATTATTCCAAATTATAGCAAGAGCTATATGGCATAAATATGACAAATGAAGAAGTAGATGCTTTGTCATATAATGAAAGATGGACATAGACTTAATTCTCAATATTAATCCTGTTATAGTAGCAAAGCACTTCCAATACAGAGTAGAAACTTTTTTCACAACAGTATTTCTGACTGATGTGAATCCAAATGGTAAGATTGTATACTATATATGCAGTGCGTATTTGAATTCCAAATGAGGGGCAGTCCTCATGTCCATAGTCCCATTTGGATGGTAGGCTGTCCTAAATTGTCACAAGATACCAAAGAAGCCTATCTGATCTTTATTGACAAGCATTTACAAGAATACCTACCAGACAAAGATAAGGATGCTGATTTTCTTTAAATGATGCAAAATATCAAACACATAGCCACAGTAAAACGTGCAGGAAGTATATAAAAATATTGCATGTAGATTTAACTTTGGCCAATTTTTCACAGAAAAAAACTATTGTACCTGAGAACCTTTACCAGGTGACATGGACGAAGAGATGAAGGAACAAATATTGATGAAAACAAGACATACTTAGTCTGATAAAACAAAAAAATAGACCAGTCTCTAAATTCAAGCAAGGCAGATTATGATCCTTAACCCCACATGATATGTTTGAACAACTTGAAATTGTACTAGTGATGAATATAAAAGTGCTTTGCCTACATCTCCTGACTCTGACTATGAACTACATCTTCGAAGACCAATAGACAGCTGTTTCATCAACAACTACTTCATTGCTGGTTTAAAGGGATTAATGCTGCCAATGTAGGCTTGCAACCTGTTTTTAATCACTAGAAGAACCAGATAAATATTTTCATCATCAAATTACTATCCTTGGAGAGAAGAGAGTGAACTTCTTGGAAATGAACAAACTTACATATCTAAATTCTATGAGCCTGAAGTCCAGACTGTAGTACAACATAATAGAAACACTAATTTGAACCACTGATGCTGAGGCAGTTGTAGAAGCACTTGAATTTTTAAGAAGCAACAATCACGGTGTACTTCACTCATGATGCAATTAATAACCAAGAAAATGATGATCTACAGTCACAAATACAAAATGATAGCAATGATTCAAAAGAATCATTTAATAACCAAATATCAGACCATCTGGCTCCCAGTACAGAACTACAACCTGCAGGTGAAATAACAACATACAATCAACCGTTAGAAATATCTAATGATGACCTTTGAAAGCCAGTAATATCACTGAACACTCAGCAATGCAAAGCATATGACATAGTATTATCATAGTGTAGAAACAAGATTAAAAGCATGAACAGTTTAAAACCTGAACTCACTGCCCTTGCAAACTGAATTCCCAGTTTTATGGGAATTCCTAGGAATTCCTAGGAATTCTCAAAAATTCCCAATTATGCAAATGACCCTTGCAAACTGAATTCCCAGTTTTCTGGGAATTCTCAAAAATTCCTAACTATGCAAATTAACTCTGATTTAAAAAGCTTGGAATTACTGGGAATTTCTGGGAAAGGAACACTCCAGTTTTGTGAGGACTTGGAATCCCTAGGAATTCCTAGGAATTCTCAGCTTTACAAACTACCTATAATTTAAGAAGTGTGGAACTCTTGGGAATTTCTTGGAATTGAATTTGAGGCAATTTTAATACCCTGAGGTCCACATAAATTCTAAGAAATTATGCATACCTTGAATGTGAAGGTTTTAAGAAAAGGAGTAATTTCAGAGGCTTAAAACTTTGGCTCAATAAAAGGTATGCTATACAAAACTTACCAAGAGATATACATACATGTATATGTTTATAACTTAAAGATCATAAAATTTATTATTCAAACTAAGTTTTAGTAAATCTTTACATTAATATGGATTTTCTCATGAACCAGCTGTCAGTTATGTTAAATGGAAATTGCCAATTAATCCAATGTACTCATATCACAGATTTGCTTTCTAAACTCAAAGGACTCTTGGATTCCATGATCAAAAAAAATTTTTATTGTGATGCAAATTAATGTCTCATGTTCACTGATGTGTCAAAATCATCAAACATTCATTAGCTGTCCCTTGGTACACAACTTCTACAATAATTAACAATAATTACATTGTTATCTACACTTAAAGAACTTTGTTAGTTATGAACATAAGTTACTTCCCTAACCTACATTACTGGTTGCCTTTGTTAGAAAACCTTGGAACAGTCAAGCTCAGTTGCCTCAAACCCTGTCAGAGACTTTTTGTTGACAATATTTTTAGTAGAAATTTTATGCCTTAGACAAACAAATTCAACACCTTATTAATCTTTCTTTTCTCGTGATTGTTGTTGCTGTTTTTTTTTTTTTCATTTTTTTGCTCTGTTTTCGTGAGAGTTCCAATACTTGTGGATCATCCACACACTTTGCAAACATTTGGCACGCAGACAAGACAGAGGTAGTCAATGTTCCCTTTGAGAAAAAACACCTTTTAAATGACGTCTTCAATTTACTTTATTTGAAACTCTGATCTGAAAATATTTGTCAACAAGACTTGTTAGAAGTGAGAAGTACCAACCAAGTTTCCTTTCATAACTTAATTTCTTAAACGTCCCAATCACTGGATCTCCCAAATAATATTACATCTTTTTATTTTTGGTGCAAAATATAAGTCCTTCTTTATGAAAAAATGAAAAGTGCAAGTCACACTTCAATAATAACAGCTCTAAAGTTTACTTGTTGTTCTTCTCTGTCTATCAGCTATCAACAGAATTGTTTTATACTTCGGACAGTGCATAACTATTTGTGGACCAGAGTTCCAACGCATCTTTGTAATCGCACATAGTTACTTCTGTCTCTTATACAAATGTTTCTCCTTTGTAAGACGCACTCTACTCTGTTGTCACTACTGCTTTAAGTTCAGTGGAAACGACTGACTGAGGAATCGAGATGGCGGTATTGGAACGTGTTGCTGAACGCTTGCTACGGTCAAGCTTTGTAGATTTAGTTACTGGTACACTGGGATCATCTATGTATCTCTTATACTTCCTAATGTGGTATCCTTCTTTCATAAATATGAGGGTAAAAGACGATTTGTAGTCGCATTCAAAACTGTGATTGGCTTGTGTTATTTGTCACCTTTGCCATGAACACAACTCAAGTGAGTTTTTCTTGTAATACAATCGATTCTTGTCGATTATTTCTACATAGAGTGAGCTCACATCATTATTTATATCACCAAGGTATCCATCGTCTAGAAGCAGAGAACCGGTCGGAGAAGTCAGAATAAAGTTATGCGCTTCTCTTAACACTGCAATCGGCAAGCCGGCGGATTCACTTTGATAGCCAATGACAAGTCCTAAAAGATCCACGTGATCATGCCCGTGATCGGAAACAAAGAAGACTCTATTTGGCGTTCATCTTTGAATGTACTTTTCATCGGTTGATCGTTTTTCTCAACTGTTTTGCTTAATAGAACATTTCTAAAGATAGTTTTTATTGTGGTTCAATGGGAAAACGAGAACAGCGTGAGTGTTGTAAAAGAAAAGAAAGTCGTTAGCGCCGTGGAGTTAAAAGAATGGACAACAGTTGACATATTGACTGGTACAAACAAGGGTCGAGTGGCCATCTGTAAAGCTACGATTTTGAAAGTTTGTGGTAAGTAAAAATTGCGATATTCGTTACGTGATCAAAATCTTGTAAAAGAATAGATGAAGCGGGTTGAATTAAGCTTACATAACGCTTGGCGCAACTGAAACTAGAATAATTCTGAGAATCGAATCGCAGTTTCCTAAGCTTATGCTTTACAATGAAATAAACCTATCAGTAAGGTTTCAAGATTCCTCTAGTCACGTTTGGGAACATTAAAGGTTCATAATAGGAACTGTTATTAAACAATGTCAAACCTTATTACATAAAGAAGCCCTCCTTGGTAAAAACAAAATAATGTATTCAGCCCTTTTTTAGTAAAATCTACGAGAGAGATGTACTAACTCCAATTAAAATGTCACTCAATATGACAGAGATTTCTCAATTTGAGAATCCAATGAATGCCCTTTTCCTCAAAGCCATCTTAAAGGCCTGGTCTGAGCTTTAAATATATATATATATATTAAAATATATATATATATATATATTTAAATATATATATATATTTAAATATATATATATTTTTTCAAATTCAGATGTCATGGAATCTAGATACAAAATGGTCAAGCTTCTTGTAGACAACCTCATTCAAGGCCAACTCATTGTGAGCCCAGGAAAAAAATACAAATAGCAGCTAAGTTTACAGTTTAGGATAACTTCAATTTAATTTATTGTTACAGTTACAACAAGATTTTAATCAAAAAATCAATTTTATTTGTCTGTAATTAACCCCTTCACTCCCAAGAGTGCTTGGTTTTCAAATATAATTTAAGATGTATTGTATTTTATGGAAAAGAATTAACAGATTCTATTCACAATTTGTGTCAAACCAAATTTAATGATTGATTAGGAATATTTTATATGAATAGCTGTAATTGAGGATTAATCTGTATGAAGTTTTCAAGAAAGGAAAAATAAATCAAACTCTATCCTAATATTACCACACATCGATGTTAATAACTAATAAAAAATATTTTACATGTAAGCTTTAATTAAGCTTCTAAATAAATTTCATTGAATACTTGAATTTTAGCTGGGTTTTTTTAATTTAAAGTATTTATTTTATATCATTAGCCTCAAATTTTTGCTTAAAATTCCTAGTAATTCTTAAACATTCCTAAAAATTCCCAAAAATTCCCAGAAATTCCCAGGAATTTTTTAGATTTACAGCTTTTCAGGGAAAGTCATTGGTTCTCTGAGTTGGAATTCCTAGGAATTCCAAGTCCTGTTGGCTATAAACTTGGAATTTCTGGGAATTTCTAGGAATTTCTAGGTTTTTAGAACCAGAGTTGTTATGGTTGGGAATTCCTTGGAATTCCCAGTGCGAATTTACCATGAAAATTCACACCTTTATTCCCAGGAATTCCTGGGAAAAAATTCCTAGGAATTCCAAAAGCCATTTCGCAAGGGTGAAGAAGACAGTAAAGTCATCCAGTCAAAGACCTCATTTTCAACAGATGCTAATAATTATACCCATCATACCCAGATGCTAATTATACCCATATTGCATATCTTTTTTTCCCTGAAAATGCTCCTGTAAATCAACATAACAATGTGCATCTTGAGAATTTAACAACATTGGTACATTAGACTTGAAGCTGTAGATCAATACCATCAAATGTCACAAAACAAGACATTGATAGAGTATTAGCAAGGTGAAGATCAGAATCTGGTGGACTTGACTCTCAAGTTTTGATAAAAATGAATTCTAGAGTGACGTTAACTGCCGGGTATACCTGGTAAATGATAGACTTATTAATAGACAAATGGGTACTGTAACAAAAATTGCTCTTGATCAAAATACAAACAAGACATGTGTTGCCTATGTAAAGTTTGATGAATCTCAAGCTGGTGTAAAAGCTATAGAAAAATATACAGATAACTATGCTGGAGAAAACAGTGCTGTACCTATTCAACCAGTATTAGCTAGAATTACAGTCAGACCAGGAAAACAATCCTCACCAGAATTACAAAGACTACAATTTCCTATCACACTAGCATGGACAAGTACAGTGCACAAAGTACTAGGACTGACATTGAATGAAGTTGTAGTCAGTGCAATGTTGTGTCAGTAGAGGAAGACGGATTAATGGAACAACTACTTTTCATATAGAAGGTCTCACTCTCATGTGATGCAAACACTCTATTAGTTATGCGTACATATTAATTAGAAACAGAACAATGGCAACCATGTTCCAGTTAATTATAATCTGTCTTACAACAGGCTAACAGTTGTCAATTTTATCTTTTTAAGAGACTTGCTTTCAATTACATCTCATTTATCATCTTATTTTTTTTATAATTAAAATATTGTCACTGATAGTTGTTTTAAGAATTTTTAAGAATTGTTGAAGACTTTAAAATTATTAAAAATAAATAAATGTTATTGCTTTATGTTTATTTTCTTTGTTCATATATATATATATATATATATATATATATATATATATCCATGTCACCACTTGAGCTATTCTAAAAGAAATGCGCCAAATAAGTTGAAAACGTCTATTCAGACTAGCATCGTCAGTGATCTATTTTGATCTACACATATTAAAAATGAGTCCACTTTCTTTCTTTTTTTGTGACAACAGTTGTGCGCAGCACTTTTCACTTTGAAATGCACTAATAATAACAAGCAGAACAAAGAAACATGTGGTGGGGAGTAAGGAAAACAAACGACATGATTTGGGCTTAAATTTGTCAAAACATAAATTAAACAACACTCTTCATCAGATTAAATCCCTTTATAAACATTCCTAAGCAAAGAAGCCTAAATTCACAGTTATGCGTCTAGTTTACTTATGTTTTTAGACACTTCTTGGGAAAAATCTAGGCATTCAAGGGTGAGAAAATCTCTGCCTATCACATCATGACAAAAAATCAAATTTTCTTACAACACAAGTGATAATCTATGATACTGGATCTCTGGCTAATACTTTAAGATAATAGAACGGGATGAAATTTGGGTTTTCAAAAATTAATCAGCAGTCTATAGTCATTCACAGATTTCAAGGTACTAGTATTTGTGTTGCTTGAAAATTAAGATGATAGCTTGCAACAGGAAAAATTTTTTGGCTCGGGAGATGAAATCAACTACATTATTTTCACCATTGAATTTTCTTAATAATGTTTACCTTAGTATTACAGTACAAATTGATTAAACTGAACAGAATGGAACAGTCTGTCAAAACACAGTCCTTATATCTATATACAACTCATAATATCTGCGAGTAAAGGGGATTTACAACTAACCAGATCTTGCCAAATTTGAAATTACTTTTGTCATTAGTTGCACATGTTTAATCAATAGTTGAGTAATCCATTTACCTTAAAATCATAGAAAATTAATTTTACTGGAGTAAGGCAATACTACATGCTCTTGTTTTATCAGTGCTATAGTTATTTTAATGTTCTTGCCTATGATATGTATGACAAGCACAAGAAAGTTTTCAATCAATTTGTCGAATAATCAAGATAAAACTTTAAACTTAGCTATTTATTTTACTGCTTTCATAGTTATTCACAAACAAACCATAAATTTCTGGTTATAGTTCGGTGTGGCAGAAAAAAAATAGGCATTACAAACTACATAAATTCTTTTATAGTCATGCTTGCTGAATTTTCTTTGCTTTCAACTGTTTCAGTAGCAGCAATATATTCGTCCCTGAATAGCTTGGCTTATCATTTTAGAAAACAAAGAGGAATCAGGAGAACCAGGTGAAGTAATCAACAGCCCGTTAAAGGGATAAAGAAAATATTGCTTAATGAACACCTAGACGCGTTTCTCTTGGATACAATCGTGTACACCAAGTGGGCAAAATCAAAGAAGTTACTCTATCCCTAATATTTTCGTGTCAGTTGAAGTCTTATCATGGTTTCGTGAACAAAATAAATCTTACCACGCCGGCTAAACTTCCTTGTTTTTAATAGTGTTGCGCAATATTTTGTACCTCCATGATTTCCGGCGAATGCAAATAGCGTGACTTCCTTGCTCGCTGGTAAACACAACACGCGAATAAAAACTAACGAGTGGAAGGCTATTGACAAACATGACAGCCTATATCGCTCCTTCCCAACACTATCAATGAACACTACTACTCGATATCGGTGATATATTTCCTTACGTTTACAGTGTCAAATAG